CTTTCCCTTTCCTTCTGTCAGTTTCTCCTTCTCCTTCTTCTCCCTCTTCTCCTTTACGTAATTTAATGAGAGCCAGATTTTGAAGCCGAGCAGATAAGAACATCCTCTCAAATAACAACACACCACAGACAACAACACACCAGCAAAGAGCAAACAGAAAATTGTCTGAATTTATTTAGTCTTTTCATTGAGAGAGATTATCAAGTACTTACGTATATGGAGTCAGTGGTCCAGTGAGAATTTTAGACACATCCCTTTGTCCCAGGATCATGTAAAGGAGAACAACACTCTGATGGCGAGAGTCAACACAGCCTCCCTATCAAAGGAGAAAAATAAGTAATGATAGTGAGTTTCATTTCGGAGTATACTAGAAATCATGTTTTCTAAAAGCTACTATGAATGTAAGCTTGATCACCAGTCAAGTACTCCGTATGAAGTGCATTTTGATTGAGTGTTGTGAATCCCTAATAAAGTAATCACAGTAGCCAATTAGAAAAAAAGGAACACATCACAAGGCAGTGAGGGGTCAAAGTATAAACAACTGCCTGAAGTGTAGGAAAACCTCACTCTTTTAATCTGATTGGTTGAGAGACCTGTCTGATTTTCTGCACCAATCACAGAGTGAAGTATAGTAAAACAAAACCAAAGCAATCCCACTTTAATTTCAACACTCAATTAAAGACTGCTTCATTGTGAAAAAATAAAAAATTACCCTGTAAATTTCTTCAAGTAACATTTCAGCTGCCTGTTTACCAAGATCCTCAGGGACAACTGGCTGACCCTCCCCCACTGGGTTGGATGATGTCTGAACACTTAGCATAGCACCAGTTGTTGATTCTGCAACTAATGATATCCCAAACCCTGGTGACCTAGAAGAGGACATTTTTAATCTTGATTATTATTAATCTGATGACTGTATGATGTATCATGCTCGTGACAAAAGAATACAGTGCACCTCTGGTTTAAGAGACTCTGAAAAGCTTTGCTTATATCATCTGCACAGTGTAGGTGCACTGACCCAGCTACATCTTCAAATCTGGATTTGAGACCTGGCTGGGTTATGATATTCTGTTCATAGACACCCAACCCTTACACTCCCAAGATGCAATTAGTGATTCTTCATACTGTTTGCCATACATTTCTAACAATTTTAGCTATGATAATTTGGTATCGGATCAACTAATAATCCCTTGATTGATACTAAGGTGGCTCCCCGCATCCACTTTTCTTAAATACACACTTGGAGTTTTAGCATTCAAATGTGTCAAGGGGTTAGCCCCCAGCTACCTTTGTCATAGATTTAAGACACGTGCTTGCATTCATGATTGTAATACCAGATTTAAGCATAACTTGAATATCCCAGCTTATAAGTCAGCTTCTGGGCAACGCACATTTTTATACCGCGCAACGAGTTTCTGGAATTCTCTACCACATGAAGTAAGAGAATGTGTCAATTTGCCAACCTTCAAGTGACTATTTAAAGAATTTCTCTGTAGTTTTTTTTTTTGGAACGAGACATTTTATAGTTCATGAGTTTTGATTTCGTATTGATTGTAATTAGTTTTTAAAACCCATTTAGTGGAAAACTAATAAAGAGGATTGGATTGGATACTTTTCTTTATTCTCGTCACTTGTATGTTTGATCCTGTATCAAGAATGAAAGGAGAAATTCCATCTTGGTCACTCATGAGTATAAATGGGAGCTGATAACTTGTCAGATGCATCTGAAAAATGCCAAGGGTAATTTCCAATGGACTGTCACCCCATCCCAAGGACAGGGGAAGAAGCAAATTACTCCTGAAAAATTCATACCATTTACACAAGGGGAAATTTTCAGGCTTTAGCTTTTGGGTCATTTGGATATTTACTGCAGGAATAATGGTTGTAAGATAGCATACTTTCCAGATTGACCTCCTTTGCAATGATCTGTATAAATGTAGATATCAGACACAAACTGATTCAATACACCACGCACTGCGTCCACCACTCTATTGCAAATGGCAGGAGAAACTCGCATAGCATACCTGTTTAAGGTTTGGTTAAGGCAAATCAACTTTAAAAGAGAGAAAATTAGTGGTCTACGTGCAATGGTCTCTAAACTATCATTTTATCATAAAGAAAAAAACTGAAGGAAAAACTAAAGGATACGCAAGGCCTCTTATTCTCTTTATTTTTCCAGGATCTGTGAATTGTATTGGCCGCAAGTTCCTCCTCACAGGGCAGGAGAATACCACTTCCCCTCCCCCCTCTGGAGGAGCTCCCCTTTTCACAATCTGTAAAGAAAAATGTGAAAGAAATGATCATTAAATAAAAGTATTTCAACACATGCTGTTAGGAATGTCATGATGTCTGTAAGCACGCGTTACATGCCTGTCCTATTCTCGGGAATCATGGGATTGTAAGACATGTGCATGTGCTCGCAAGTATGTAGTTTTGGCTGGACAGATGTGGATTAAAGTATTTGTTGAGTTTTATCGCATTTTGATCCTTATAGCGACCTAAACCATTCAACCTTTTCCCAACACATGCTTATTAGCTGTGTATATCTATTGGAAAAAATGAAAGAAATTGTTTAGTAATGAAAATAGTTCAAATCCCATAGGATTGTCTCAGACTCCAACTTTGCCCCAATTCCACTGTTTTGGTAAACAATATAGCCACAGTAATGTTTGGTGAGGATGGTCAATTGCAGCCTTCTTTCTTCTTTCAAGCACAAAAAAAAATTAATTCAAGCATGTTGAAAGGGGCAGGTAAGTCATATTTTACTGTCTTTCCAGCTAAGTTCACTGACAGTATAATTGCAGCATGTCTAAATCTTATGCATGTGTTGAAATACTACCTGGAAAATCATTGATAATAACAACAACAATAATAATAATAATAACAACAACAACAACAACAATAATAATAATAATGGTAATTAAAGTCAATAATACTAGTTATTACCTTTAAATCTAGTCCTTCATCATCTACCACAAACTTCTTTACCAGCGGAAGAGTAACTGTTTTTATGATATCAACCTAATACAACATCACACAACAATCATCAAATTATAGGATTAAGACACTTTTTTCACAGAAATAATTAAAGGATGCACCTTTATGCCCACCTGTTTTCAATCTTGTTTTCTGTCTGTGTTTAATCAAGATACCCTCATGATGCCAGTTTTTTCTTTTTTCAATTTTGCTCCACACAGAGGAAAGTGGAATTTTAAGTCAACCAACAGTCTTGGTACCTTGGTGGTGCCCATTAGTTTTAAACAATGTGATATTGAAAAATAAATTTTTTTTATGTGCATCTACATTTAGTTGTTCTCAATAAAATAATTGAAATACACAAGTGGAGATAGGATGCTCCGTACAAAGGGAAAAAAACTGATTTTGGATATGAAATAACAAGACAACAAAACGAAGAAAAACTAACACAAAATTTGAATTACACAGATTAGAGCGAGCCAAAATTTGGTTTTTTGTGTGTTTTACCCTTTACCCTCTGACATCAGCATCCATATTTGCTATAATATTTGATTATCTACAGGGGGATTGTTTACATTTTCTTTGGTGTGGAAAAGAAGGCCTTTGGTGTGGACAAGGAGAATTTTTTTAACAAGCAAAGCAGGGCTTGACACTAACAGTAGCCAACTAGCCACAGACTAGTAGAAATTCAGTTTTGGCCTGTGGTTTTTAATTTCCACTTGCCAGTTTGGCTAGTAAACAAAACTGAAATTTTTGCAACATCTAAGCTGTCACTAGCCATTTGGCTAGTAAGTGTCCAGCCCTGCAAAGCCTCTATTATGTTAATGGTCATTTCTGTTTCCACCCTAACATCATTATGCATATTCTCTATACTGTTCTCTACACATTTCCTAAGTTTCTGACAAGGAGAAATTGTTTAAACAATCAAGAGCTTCTTTTAGTTAGTGATCATTTCCTTTATTCTCACGACCTTAATGACTGATTCAGTAGTAAAACTGTAAGGAGAAATTAGAGGCCTGTCACTCTTACGGTCTAAGGGGTTGATTCTCTGCTAGAAATGTTTATGATATTATTTCTGGCTTACCGTTGGATCATGTCGGTCATTTGTTATTCCTTTCAGAGTAAGCCTGATAGGTTTCTTGCAAAATGGAGCCAACAGCACCACAGCTTCTAAGTAATAGCCAATAGATCTTTGAGGATTACAGTCATGGTCAATGGCACCTCCAGCTAACAGGCCAGGTTTGTAAAACAGCATTGTACCTAGGAAAAACCGAACAACCAAACATGAGGATAGACAGGGCTCCACACTAACGATAGCCCACACACTAGTAGAAATTCAGTTTTGGCTGGTAGTTTTCGGTTTCCACTGGCCAGTTTGGCTAGTAAACAAACTGACATTGTCGTAGCATCTAAGACGTCACCTGCCACTTGGCTAGTTAGTTGAAAAGTAAGTGTCGAGGCCTGGATAGGACAGCTTTTATAATGAGGCCCCATTAGGAGGGTCCGACTATTCCGTATCTTATAAATTTCCAGCCTATATATTCCGTATCCCGTTCCTTCCAGTGGTTTGTATCACGATTTGTAACAGGTCATCACACAAAAAAAAAAATCTTCCTTAACAAGTAATAACTTTTCTAATAAATAATCTGCAGACTTACCTGTTTCATTAATTTCTATTCGTGATCCGTTTGTTACCTTGTCCAGGAGCCGTATAAAACTGGCCTCGAAATCTTGAAAGTATAATAGAAAGCAGAAAATTAATTATCAAATCAGACGGTAAAACATAAAGCATATTTCGTAGCTAGTTAGCAGTTGAAAAAGGCTGTGATTCCAATAATCACTCCAATAATGGACGGACGTACCTTTCAACCCAGGATCATCTTCAACAGCTCTTATGTTTTTTATTTTCACTGATTTTCCGCTTAGCGTTGCCAAAACAAGTCTTTGTCTGAAAAAATTACAACCTTCGTAGGTCAAATCAGCCGCCATGTTGAAAAACGCACGTGGGAGACCTTCTCAGGAACATATATAGAGTACTTCTCTTCGCCAGCTGATGCTGCTGGTCAAATTAGTGTTCAGTCGTATATTTTCAAAATGGCGGACGACGATATGGAAGGGTGAGTTTTTATAACGTTAGAAATTAGTGAGTCTTGAGATTTTTATTACATTGATTCACCTTTCAAATAGCTACATACCAAAAGCACGTTTTGACGCATTTCAGTTGTCGATGAAATGTCATTCCTTGTGGTAGTGGTAGATAATAGAATCAAATCGATCGTTGTCCAATTTGCTTTGTAGCAGCAAAAGTCACAGTGGAGAACTTTCTTGATTTTCTTCTAGTTATGACGATGACCTAGATGAGGTTGAAGAAGAAGACCCCTTTGAAGATGTAGATGACTTAGAGGTAAGCTTTTTAACCGATATATTTGGCCATTACCTTCTGGATAAGTTAAATTATATATTAGTGGATCTACCATTGCCGTGATTCTGACAACACACGCTTAATTTCGGTTGGATGTGATTCAAAGCAAGATGTACTGATTGTGAGAACCAATCAGGAGGAAATTTTCCGTTTTATATAGGAACCATACCCTCAAAGAAGATGTTGATGATTCTTTCTTTCCTGAACGAGGTTGCATCTAATATCCTTTATTGTGAATTTTTTTTTCAGCCCACAGAAGATACTGAGAATATTGAAATTTTGCCCACAGCAGGTATGATTTGCAATATTTTTAAACAATGTTATATAAAATCCCAGCAATATAATGTAATCCATTAGAAAAAAACCAAAATCTCCAGCAGTTACGGCCACTTGGTTATCTAAATTATGAGACAAAAGGAAAGAAAATGGTTTCTGTGTTGCATTTTATTCAGGAGGGGGAGGAATAAGGATTCTCCAAAGTTGAACAAACGTCATAAATGAACATCTTATAATGAGAGAGAGAAGAACATTTTGATAGAAGACATTTCAATTATAACAATTTTTTTGTCAATTTGCAGAAGAAAGCCAAGAATCAACCAAAAGAATCACAACACCATATATGACAAAATATGAGAGAGCAAGGGTTTTGGGAACAAGAGCCCTACAAATCAGGTAAAGTACTCTGCTCTTTAACTCCCAGAACTGATTAACACGCCGCCTCCTGAACCACCTCCCGGTTAGCTCAATGGATAGAGCGCTGGACTGTTGTGTGGGAGGTTGAGGATTTTAGCCCCAGCCGGACCAACACTCAAGGTCTTAAAATAATTGAGAATAATTTGTTACCTTTCTATAACATCAAGAAATGGTTAGATATTCTAATCTTCTCGGATAGGGACGAATAAATGGAGGTCCCGTATCCTGTAGGGTTGGGGGCAGGAGACGTTAATTTCGCACGCACGGGATTACTGTGTGATGGATGTCCTACCCTGGGGTGGGATTAACAGGCCTGCAGTAATTGGTGCAAGCTGTTGGGGTGTCCCTGTCGGTCCCCGAAGCTAAATAAATCACATAACTTCTTCCTATATTATCTATACAGTACCCAACAATCATGTAATGAGAACACTCAAACATCTTAGTTAGAGGTTGCGATCTTGATCTAACACGAAATTCTTGAAACCAAAAGGCCATTTCTGAATTACGTTTGGCCTCTTTTTCAAAGTGAGGCCTGGTGCTCAACCATGCGTATGAAAATGAGTTTAATTTGCATATGAATCAAAACTTATTACCATATGAAAGGATGAGCAGCAGGACTCGCTTTGAAAAAGAGGCTAAAGGCAACTCGGAAATGAGCTATTCATAAGATCAGATCTTGGGAGTGAAAGCATTAAGACAACAACAACAACAACAATTTATTGATTTACAGTAATTACAATTTGAGAAATGCCTACCCACAATTAGTTAAAAACTAGTCAAGGCAGGTAGGTATAATTAAGACATAGATGAGATATATTTAAGGTGGTATGGCTATTTTCATTTGATAACTGAGAAGTACATTCCACGGATATTAAGTTAATTTGTTAACCCCCAAAGCCCTGTCAGTGACTAGCATCTAATTTCTCCCAACGGTATAACCCCTGAATCACACATTAAAGTAAAGAGAATAAAGGAAATGATCACTGACTAAATATTCTCTTGATTGATAAACAAATTCTCCTTGTCAGCACTTTAGGAAATGTCTAGAGGACAGTAGGGAGAATATGCATACTGATGTTAGGGTGTAAAAGGTTAAAGTTCTAATGGCAGGGGTTTAGGTCTCTGACTTTACTCTGGCTAAACTCCATTTCAGTTCATTCGAGCAAGATCACAATTTTTTCAACTCGTTTTGTTCTGTTGTGTTTTGATAACCAGTATGGGTGCCCCTGTCATGGTGGAACTTGAAGGTCAGACAGATCCTTTACAGATAGCCATGAAGGAACTCAAGTAAGAAATATTAGTGAGAGCTTTTTTAACAGAGTATTGAAGCCAAAACTTACACTGTAGGTCATCTGCAGTCTATTGATATAAAGAGACCCTCAACAACATGGAATATATTGTTTTAGTATAATTTCAGAGCTGAACAAAGAGTTGCCAGTGATCTGATGGGTCGAGCGGTTCCTTATATGACGCTATATAAACCGCTCCGCGCGGTTTATATAAAATGTTAAACTAAAGTGGTAGTAAGTGTTACTAAAATGTTATGATTTTAGAAATTTCTCTGTTGTTCAGCTCTGAAATTATACTAAAATAATTACTTGCCTCAGGTTCAGTGAATATAGTTGAATAATCCCCTCGACTTCGTCTCGGGGATTATTTGACGATATTCACCTCGCCTTTGGTGAATAATTGTTAATTATAATATGATGAAAAAGTATATTGTCAGTGGTGACATCTGTCCTGCAATACATAAGTAAGAACTAATGAAAAATGCATAAATGGTTCATCTTATAAACTGTACGGAACAGAGCAATATTTGCAGAAGAACAGCAAATACAAAAGTCAAAACCCTCCTAATTCCTCTTTCGCTACTATTTCAGGGCAAGAAAAATTCCCATTATTATTCGGCGATACCTTCCAGATGGAAGCCATGAAGACTGGGCAATAGATGAACTTATCATCACAGAATAAAACAGTGTCTGACTTAGATGTACAACTTAGGAGTTTATATGTCCTTATATGAAAATACTTTATTTTCCTTTCTTTTTACCCCACCCATGAGAGGACTGTATATCCTCAGGAACTTCTCATATTATCCCTTCAGTTTGTTCCTGTTATGTATTTATGTAGCATGCATCTCATGTATTTTCTCATCATTGTAGAATGCTTTTGATGAACATTAAAAAGAGTTCGCTCTTTGGTTTTATTTAAGTTCTGTGGAAAGTCAGCATTCTGTGTTTCAAAATTATCATAAACCTCTTATCATCTTATTTCTAAGTCTATAATGAAAGTTATGGACCAAGATTTTTTACCTCAGATTTATGGCCTGTGTATGAAGCTCAGAGGCCATAAATCCATGTGAAAAAAATTAGGTTCCATAACTCACGGTACAGACCAGGAACAAGAGTTTAGTAAAGATATTTATCACATTTCTGGGTTCAAATAGAGGGGGAAGATTTTCATTCAAACAAACATTTGCATTTAGCGGCTATACAGTGATATACAGCCCACTAAACTGACCATTCATAATGTTCGTGCTAACAGGGAGATATAATAATATTATGAAGGGCAAGGCTATTATTCTTTTATTTGCATGTAAAAATGCTCTATTGGCCTCACTCTCAATGAAAATTATATTATTTTCTGTTTTTGCCAGGGCCAGGAGGGCTAAATTACAGGAAAATGAAAGAAAAGAAAAAAGGGCCACCCATTCTTTACTTTTTAATCAATGGCCCCTCCATGGTGGGGTTGAGTTTGTCTCGGGACTACTGCCCATTGGGGGTGGGGTACAGTTTTATGTCAGGGTTACACTCAAGTGGAAAACAAAACAAAAACAATGAAAACAATAAAATTGTCAACAGGAAAAAAGGTTTTCTTAAATCACAAACTTCAAATATTCCTTAAAATAATGTTAAAACAAGTTATACAATTATACAATACCTATACACTTAAACTTTTGAAGTTGACTCTTGTTCAAGTATACTGCACCCTTAAACTTTGAAATTGAAGAAAACGTTTGGCATCCAACACCTTTTCTTTTCACATTTAATATTTTCCTTGATAAATAAAAGAAGTTTATATAAACCATCAATTATTTCCTGATAACCAAATATAAAACTAGTGTGCCATATTTGTTATAATTCCAAATATATAGGAATTTAGAATTGAATACATTTTTTTTTTCCAATAAATCATTTTTAAAAAAGTACCTTCCTAAAATAAATAATGTTGGATTGGCATTTATGTGGTGCTATTTTACAAACTTATCATTCTCTCAAAGTGTTTCCTCTGCAAATTCTTAACTTTGATTTCAGTTACTTAAAAAACTTGAAAATTTTCAAAAAATTAAAATAGTTGATGCATTTTAACTTAAGATCCAGTGATAAAATATAATTATTATATGTAAACAAAGTGAACATAATTCATGTTGTGTATAAATTCCATTGTTTAAATAATTTCTTTTATCCTTAGCCCCAAAGTTTTACATTATAACGCATCAGTCAAGTGTAGAATAAATAATTATATGGTGTACATTATTTAGGTTACATTTAAATAATGGTATTTGAACCACTATTTGCTTCAATAGAGATAACCGTTGAGAATCATAGATACCTGTGAGAGGCAAGCAAGGATATCTACATATTTTTTATTACATTAGAGCTTGTTCCATGGTGGGAATAATAATATATAGAAGTAAAATTCTAGTAAGGGCTTATAATATACCTTCTATGTCGAATTTTGAATAACTTCACGATGGTATTTCAACGCTCGCTTCTCTAAACAAAACGCGAGGACCGTGAGCACTGGGACGGGTGATCCATATTTGGTAGTTAGTAGCGGGCTCCAGATTACGTCGAGAAAGGTCTTCTGGTGTATTAATGGTAAGCCAGCCGTTTCGTTTGTTTGCGTCAAATGTTGACATCATACATCTCGTGCTGTCGTGGCCCTTCAACCGTCGTCATGTCTGAACTCCTTGATTCTTTATCGTGTACCGGTTCCACTTGTGCCCCATGTTTAATCATCGGATAGGTCCTTTCATAAGGTTTCCCGTTTCCTTTTGTTACATCACTGGGCTCGTGTTCCTCTAGTTCCAAATCATTTATCGCTGACTCAGCAGAGGAAGGAGCTGTTGCCTGGTTTTGAATGGCCAATGAATTTGAAAGGTTGGGAGTTGAGACTTCAGTTGCCTGAAAAATATGACAAATTTGACCTTGTGTTTGCTTATGAGAAAACGTTTCGGATTTTATGGGCTGAAAACTGCAAATCATTCAAACAGTTTCATATGAGGTCCGAAACAAGTGCCGAAAGCTCATCTATCAATTGCTAGCCAATCAGATTTAACAAATTATCTATTCAGCCAATCAAATTCTATCGTTACTTGAAGTGCGTGGATTTTCCCGCGCTCATCACCGGCTGCACTAACCCTTGCGTTCGACACTGTTTGCAAAATATTTACCAGCGCTATATTCATAATGGTTTGAGTGTTTTAATATATATCTCATCTAAACTGACTTTTATATAAATTCGTGGATTAAAACAAAGATTATCAGGTTTCAAAAATCGCGAACTGTCAATCAGTAACTGAATATAACAAGGTGTTGTCGATAGAAAAATCAATACAGCTTACCACAGCTCCAGGCCCCGCCAGAGACAAGAAAACCGGTAGAAATAGGAGGCCATTAAATGTGCCAATACATATCAGTGCTACAAGAAGGTTAAAGAAGTATCTGAAAGATAAATGATTCACAAAAGCCATTGAAAGTAGAATCCGGCGTCAAATTTATGTTCTGTTCATATGTAAAAGGGAGAAGTTTAATTTTATTCTTTATTTGCGCACTCAAGCAGTTGATTCATACGTGAGTTATATCTTATTAACCAAGCGCGAGGGCCGTACTGGGAGAATATCGGCCCGAGGTCTTGACAGTACGGACCTCGCTGCGCTCGGTCCGTACTAAAAAGACCGAGGGCCGATATTCTTCCAGTACGGTCCCGAGCAAGCTTGGTTAATAAGAGATTTATTATACGACTGAAATTCAAAGGAACACAAGTGCGGTATCATTCGGGACCATTCGGGACAGTGCCCGGTCCAATATTGAGAGAATATTGACCGGCAATAGAGCATTTTGATTGGTTGATTTTACTTATTGGCCCTCTGACTGCCCGAGTCGTGTAATAATGTGAGATACTGGATTTACCTGGTTTTACGGGTACAGAAAGAATATATCTTCATTTGATGCTTTTAGATTGAGAGTCTGAAGTGACCATTCCTGTTAGAATGTGAATCTGTCTCACCTGACAATAAATTCGAACTCAGATCCCGCCATCATAACAACCCCTAGGAACGTTGAAATGGCACCATCCACGATAGGTACAAAAACGTGTTCTATTGCTTTCTGCATTCTCTGGTTTCTATCACCGACGGCGTGCAGAAATGCCTATGAAAGTGACATACAGGATTATAAAGCGTGCTACTCAATAAAATTCATGCCCTGCAAACTTTTCTGGTTTCAAGATGTTGAGTCAATTTCCTAACCAATCACTAAACAGCTTTTTCACAGCCAATCAGCCACAATGATTAACGCGACAGAGCCTTGGCTTGGGTAAATCTTCCCGCCTTTTACAACAATCGTTTGCATGTTTTACCGCCAAGACATAGTTTGCTTGTTTTCCCGACCGTTATAATAGCGGTTGCCTTTCTGCCGCGCTAAGCATGGATTGTCATTGTTCTCGCCATAGGTAGAATAGTTTGTTCTGGAATTTCTTCATCTACGTTTCCTGAGATTCAAGTAGATCGAATCAAGACAACGTACAACTCAACCTGTTCGTGCTTCGTGTGCATTTCGTTTAAATATGGTCATTCAAAGCCAATGCCACAGGAAATCATGTACAATTCATCAGAACACAGGCAATCTCATAAGAAACTGCCTAAAGCGCGGGAAAACAGACAGCTATCGATGACGATGCATCTGATTGGTCAAAAGAATTGCGCGAGTTTCCTTGACCAATCATAGCAAAGAAAACCAGGCAAATGAAATCTCGGGTTGCTTTCGACTTTTGCTTTAAAGTTGCTTTAATACATTTGTTTTTTCTGAGAATTCGCGCTTTCCGTGGAGCAAAGTAAAAGCGATAACATACCATACACATGTGGACAGTAAACTCCACTCCAACCCCAACAGACAGAATGAGTGTAACCGCAGGTACAGCACTGAGTTTTATACCAGCCAGACCCATGAAGCCGTACACTTCAACTGTAATCATCGCTAACACAAGCACAATGACTGCTGCAGCCCATATGTTGAACAACAACACTGCCATAGCTAAAAAGCTCACAGCTAACGATATGGAAATTGCGATAATAATTTGCCGCCTAAGCCAGATGTACTGCTCCCAAAAGGTGAAGGGGACGCCA